TTGGCAAGACACGGCTGCCAGCACCTGGCAGATCACACCAGGATATGGCAGGGTTTGTGTGACGGCTGCCAGGACACAAATCCTGTCATTCCAGAGCATCCCTGAGCGGGCTCTGCCACACGCTCCAGGCTCCGTCCTCCTCCCAGCGGGACTCTCTCACTGCTTTTAGCAGAAGCGCTCATTTTATTAAAGACCTTTGGAAGACATTGACTCCGGTAACAGGAAATAAATAGCTATCAATTTCGTATTCAATTAAAAACTGTTATTAACACYAAAGTTCGCTGAGGAAGTTCTGCAAAGGTTCTTCACATTTTGGAGTCACTCATTTTTCACGTTAATGAAGAGGTCCGCAGCGTGCTCTGATTAAAAATGAAAATAATTAAAACCCCAGCTCGGTGTGAATCTCATCAGCGGTGAGAGATGAGATCCCCGGCGGTGCCACCGTGTGACATCAGACCCGACTTTCCTCCTCTTGCAGTGCCCGGTGAAAGCCTGGGATGAATTTCAGAAGGTGTTTTCGGACACTGGCTCTCCTGCTCTTGCGCGGGAGGGTCCCGAAGCTGCTGGAGCAGCTGCTGGTGTCCCAGAGCRGGGACGCGGAGCCGCTGCTGGCCAGGCTGATGCTGCGGTTCCTGCGCAGGGAATTCCTCCCGGCAGAGCCCTCCCGCTCCCGGGGGAACACACAATCATCGTCCAGGCTGGACTGGCGGCTCAGGCTCTCTGCAGCCGAGTCCTCAGAGGCGCTGCCCGGGTAGAAGCTGTCCTCGCTGCCCAGCGTCACGGAGCTGAGCCGGGAGCTGCTCTCGCTGGAGAAGCGGGGCTGGGATGGGAGGAAGGGTCCTGGAGAGCTGCAGGGCTCTTCCAGCTCCAGAGAGCCCAGCACAGCGCTGTCATTCACCTCCCCTGCAAGCAGAGCCAGAGAGCAGCGTTAGGACAGGGAGCAGGGGCTACCCAGGGCACAGGGAACAGCCCCTTCCACCCGGGAAACTCTGTGTGTGTGAGCTGCTCCCTGCRCCCGCTCCCCAGCCAGTCCGTTAAAAACACAACCAAGCCTCTTCCCCGATAAATACAAATTAAGAATGGAAGAAATTTTACCACCCACATAAACTCATATCCCAGGATTGGTGCAAAGAGCCCTTGGTGCGCATTAGTGAGGCAGCAGCCAAGTTCGTGACTCTCGGGGCAAAAGCGCTCCCAGGGCCAGCCCCTCGCCCTCATTGAGAGGGAAAAGGAAGCGAATGACAGTGAAATTGTTACAAAAGCGCCGTTTCCGCACGTACCGTGCAGCAAGAGCCGCTCCCGGGCCAGCAGCGCCCGCAGCTCTCCCCATCGCTGGTGCAGCGCCTGCTGTGAGAACGGAGAGGCTCTGTCACCCCGAGAAACACAGAACTGGGACAGAAACAGGAGTGGRAAAAGTGCAGGGCACCTGCTGGAACACCTGTGTGTCCCGCTTTTACTCAGACAATTTCCCCAGAGTTTAGTTTAGAGTCTTCCAGAAAACACGAGACTGCTCATGCCTGCCCAGGCCAAAGCACTGTCCACTTCCAATTTGGGAAGGGGCAGCCTGGAGAGGACACAGCCCAGAGAGCACACAGCCCGGAGAACACACAGCAGAGTTGATTAAAAATGCCCAAAAGATGAGGCTGTGCCCGGGGACAGCCACAGGAGGCACCTGCTCACCAGTGCATCGAACCCTGTGCAGATGGACATTCCTGCACCCAAAACTGAGCAGCCTCACCTCGCCTGGGCACTCCTGGTGTTGTAACAACATTTATTTTCTATTCCCCATTTCCAAAAAAATAGCATCAGAGGAACCAGGGCTGGGTGTGCTGGGTGTGTTGGATGTGCTGGGTGTGCTGTGTGCTGTGTGCTGGATGTGCTGGGTGTGCTGGCGCAGGGAACCCACAGGTCCTTGCAAGGACCCCCCGCCCCTGGACACCCCCCTGTCCCCATCAGCACTGAACCCACAAGAGCCCTCTGCTTTTGGCAATGGAATAACTAATTAATCGTGTTACCTTAAGCACCTGCAGCTTGGTCTCCAGCTCCATTTTCCGGAGGAACAGAGCCCCATTGACAGTCTCTAACCTGTGGGGACAGGGGATGCTGGCCCTGAGGGACAGCCCAGCCCAGTCCCTGGCATTTCTGCCTTTGAGACAGTGCAGGGCTGTCCTGCCTCCATCGGAGAGGGGATCAGGCCAAACCCATCTGAAGGAGGGACACCCACCTCAAATAGTTCCCTGAAGACTTTATCAAGTCCACGATTTGCTTGTGCCCAAAGCCCTCGATGCTGACGCCGTTGATGCTGGTGAGGATGTCACCTGTCAGAGACACACCCAGAGGCCAAGGTGAGCACCAGCACCTGAGCACCCCTTCCATCAGTGCCTGAGCACCCCTTCCATCACCCTGAGCACCCCTTCCATCATCACCCCAATCCTTCCCCCGCTCACAGGAGCCCAACGGGCACAAGGCAGGATGAGTTCCCCACTCAGCACCACACACAGTAATTACCAGGCTGAAGGCCAGACAGGTGGGCAGGGCTCTCCTCTTGGATTCTGCAGACACAAGTGCACACCTCCAGGGTGAAATCATGCTGGTGTGGAAACCTGATGGTCTGTTAATGCCAAAGGGACAGTTACCAACACCGGAGCCGTGAGAACCATTTAAAGTCCAATGAGTTTTCAGGGAGAAGGCTGTGATGAGCAGGGTACATCACACACAAGTGAGAACCCCTAAATGTTATAACCCAACAATTAGAAACACATTTGTACAGCAGAAAACATCCGACAGGTGCTGGTACACTGAGTTAGAAAAGAAAAAAATCCCAAAAGACAAGTTTGAAAGCAATCTGGTTATTCAGTATTAAAAACTCAGTAACTTCAACAAGAATAGGTCAGCACGGGTGAGAATGGCTTTCTGGGAGGAGGKCTCTGTTCCCAGGGGAATGTGGCAGGATGGGACTGGGGCTTTTCAAGGGATTGACTCTCACTCGTTGGGAATGCTGCATGGAGTCCGTTTGATTTTAAACCATGAGAGAGCTCAGTTTGCATGGGAACTGCAAAGACAGAAAGGTTCAAATCTACTTTTGTTCTTCTGGCCTCTGAAACTCATCACCCACACACATCCCCACTCTCCTCAAAGTGCTTTTTATTCCTGACTTACACTTTTAGTTATACATTAAACAACTCTAATTATAAATCCCTCGTGTGGTTATGGGTGCTGATATGAATTTTGAAAAATGCAAAAGCCACAGCCCATCCGGGTCCTGTGGCACAGGAAAYGTCTTCTGGTGAGATGCAAATACCACATCTGCCTTGAGCAGCGAGCCTGGGCTTCCTGGAAACCATCCTAACCCGAGAGAAAACTCACACTGCAGCCCCAAATTCCTGTGTCAGTGTGGAACAGAGGGAGGGAGCAGAGTGAGTTCAGAGCTCATCGGGCCAAACTCACCCAGGGCAGGGCTTCCAGCTTTAGATCAGCACTAAAATYCCGGGTTAAACCAAGATCAGGGAAGCCTGATCTCCCTGCAAACCCAGACCTAAAGTCTCACATCGTTTATTCTGCTTTGCCTAAATTTGTCTCGTGTGATGAAACCACAGCTTCTAAACATCCTCAGCATCCGCCAGACTCTGCCTTTCTGCAGCCCGGACTTTCTGTGAAGTGCTCATGCTGAATGTACRTTTGGGAAGAAAATGTGCCAAGAACAATTATTTTTAATCAGAATGCCACGGATAATGAAAATCTGCCCTGACAATTTACACAAAAGCCCAATAATTGACTCAATTATCCTCCCTTCTGAAAGCTCTCCTCTGTTCACCAGCTGAGTGCTGACCCCCTCATTAGTCACAGACCCAAAYTGGGCAAAGTTAAGCTTTCCTAATACACCAATTTCACTGAAAATACTGTTTTCCCTTTGTGTGCAGAGAGAAGAGGGCACTTTGAAAGTGCCGTGGYGCTGGCAGGCAGATCCCCCTGCTCTCAGACCGCCTCCCTCAGCTCCTGGGATCAGATTTTGGATTGGAGCAGACCTGGTGATCAGGAGTTACCTTTCTCCCACAAAAAAACCCCACAAATCTCCCAYTGGCAGTACTCCTGGGAACATTCTGCTTCTCCTGCTTGGTGACTTGCTGACTTCTACACCAAAACAAAATCTCTTCCTGTATGATTTAATCCTCACTCCCCAAAGTCATGCTTAGCAGCTGCTTATTAAAAAATCTACCAATACTGTACAGCTTGTTCAAAAGCTGTGTATATTAAAGGAGGTAGGAAAAAACAGTATAACATATTTTTTGAAATGAATTTTTGATCACTCTCATTTTATATTAAAATATTCTTATATGCACTTCTCCCAAAAGAAATCACTTATGGAGGTAAGAAGGCACTGTCATTCTCTCTTATTTGGATTTGGATGGGATTTTTCCTACATTCAACAYTCTGATTTATGAGAATGCCAGCAACTCTCATCTGTGACCTTTGCTATGAAAAAATCCTCACAAAAGCATTCCTGTCTTGCACGAGTGCTGTAAGCTCTTCAAATTCCACAGGCTCTGACAGACACCTTCCCCTGCCCTGGGCTGCCTGACCCCATTTTGAGGGTCTGACCCTTTAAACTCTTCAGCACGTTTTGTTTTTAATGAATGAACTTGTCTTTAAAGTCTTACCTGGATTTCAAACCCAAAGGTTTCTCTATCTTCTTTCAGTATAGCAACGAGGTGTCTGCATGAGGAACGCACAGAATTCCATGTGAGCACGGGGTTCTGTGGGATTGCATTTCCCCCAAAGCAGCTCCTCCCCGTGCTGTGGGGTGTCCCCATCCCGTCCCTCCCTGGGCTGCTCCTGACCCAGCTAAAGGTCACAATTGCACATCCCAGGTGTTGGTGCCACTCTCTGCCTCTACCCTGACCCCACTCGGGCCGGGAAAATTCCCAGGACACACATTTCATGCAGAATATACCAGCAACAGTGGCTCTGAAATCCCAGGACACACATTTCATGCAGAATATACCAGCAAGAGTGGCTCTGAAATCCCAGGACACACATTTCATGCAGAATATACCAGCAACAGCGGCTCTGAAATCCCAGGACACACATTTCATGCAGAATATACCAGTAAGAGCGGCTCTGAAATCCCAGGACACACATTTCATGCAGAATATACCCATAACAGCGACTCTGAAATCACAGAATCATACCTTTGTGGCTTGGAGGGGTCACCCGAGGAGCTGGATCTGGTTAAGGCGAGCTGTGACCAGAAACAGGACAGGAAAGGGTTTAGCAGGTTGTGGCTCTTTGAGGCGTGAGATAAAATCAACAGTTTGGAGAACTAAAACTATCTGGTGCCTCCCAGCAGCACCAGCACRGCCTCTGCCCTGGCTAAAAGAGAGTTTGAACTTTGTGACCAGGGGGAAAAGCACCTGGAGGTCAAATCCTCCTGCCAAATGCTGGCAGCCCAAAAAAAGCTCAAATCACATCTCTGTCATGCCAAGAGCCATCTCACTTTTGTACCTTTCCTCTAAAAGTCTGTGGGCATTTATAAATGGAACACCTGGCATTCACATGGCATTTATAAATGGAACACCTGGCATTAATGTGGCATTTATAAATGGAACACCTGGCATTAATGTGGCATTTATAAATGGAACACCTGGCATTCATATGGCATTTATAACTGGGACACCTGGCATTCATATGGCATTTATAAATGGAACACCTGGCATTAATGTGGCATTTATAAATGGAACACCTGGCATTCACATGGCATTTATAAATGGAACACCTGGCATT